CCAAAATCCGATTCGAACGAAGAGATTCTCGATCTTCCACCCACTTCTGCATTACGAGCATGATCCACTCGGCCCCAATCTCGGCAGCGGCGCTTGTCATTACCAATGGAACCCCAATTTACTTCTTTCAATCTTGAATCGTGATGCATGAATGTTTTGCATGCTGCATGGACGATTGCTTGTGTGGCGAGCAGTATTGGTTTTTATTTATTTGTTTATCTCTCGCAATCCCCGCCCCTCCGGCCCGGTCCCACGGCTGGAGTCAGGTCCCTCCGGCTGTTTGCAAGCGTTGTTCATCGTTGCCTAGTGTCAGTTCACAGTAAATATCATATGACCTTGCATCATTCATTCATAGGGCAGATCAGGCGCCGATAAAAGCTGATCCGCTGTCGTCCACATTGTTTCTAAGGCTTGCTCAAATCGGCCGTGGCCTCAGCTGTTAAAGTGGAGGAGATATTTGAATTGCTGGCGCAAGTTACTTTTAACTAGGTCATGTCTCTGAGACCGGTCTAGATTTTGCGAACTCTGTCGATCGCACGCCAGGACCTAAATAAGTCGCAATCGCGGGACCTAGCTTGCCATTAGTTCTATCGGATATCCAAAAGACTAAGTAACTAACTTGATAGTCAGCATGTCTAGTCTCAAGTCATGTTGCTACTAACTTCCCATATTATGTGCTGCTGAGTCACCTATTCCAAAATCAACCACCAAGTCAGATACACGCCACTGCGTACTTCAGCCATTCTCTAAATTCATCCGAGACGGATGCTTTCTTTTTTTAATTTTAAGGCATGTTCCATATTCACGTTATAATATTGTACACAAAACGAAAATGCCAAAAACTAAATATGATATTCTACCAAATCTAAACTTTCGCGCGTTGACTCAACTTTTTGAAACCACACATGCGTCCAGTTGTAGCTGAGCGTTTGACGCCTGATGCTCGTGCCACGCCGTTTGAACTGATATCTAGCTGCATCATAGCCTTTGTGACTTGTATATAGTCGCCAAAGAACTCATGTGCCCTGACGTCCGACCCGCTGATAATGCCGTGGCCCATGGTGACCCCCCAAACTCCATCAACGCAGATGGCGTGCGCATTTATATCCGAGTCTCGTTGAAGGAGGACCGAGTAGACGCACCCTGAGTACCTTACGGCACCGACTTGGGCTGCGTCGACCGGGAACAGCCACTCCTCATTGCTATCCATCTTGATGGGATGCCACGGCGTGACTAGCAGTCTTCCGACCTTGCACAGGAGCACGTCCGTGACACTGGTTTTCAGGACCGCGGAGACGCGGCGGGGACCAGCGGGTGTCTGAACCGCAGCGCCCTTCCGCAGCCGGCGGATCGGGATCTTGCGGCCACCGGCGAGGGACACCAGTGCCGAAGCGGCGAAGCACGACGAATCCCTGTTGTTGTAGCTCGCCCAGTGGATGTGCTGGACCGTCCCGTTCTCCCGCCGCTTGTACTCGGGCTCGCTGTACTGGTCGCTCAGCCGGGTGTAGCAGCGAAGGAAGAGCGGGCTTCGCTTGTTGTACTGCTGGACCCCGGGGTCCTTGAAGCTGTTCCTGATCTGCTTGGCGTGCGCCGTCCACAGGCTCGGGAAGAAGTGCCTGCCCCACCGTTCAAACTCTATGTTGTTGCTCCCGATCCTGATCTGGCCGGCGACGTCGTCAATCAGGGACTGGTTGGCTTCGTCGTCATGGTGCCGGGCGGGCAAGCCCGCGAGCAGGGCGTTGAAGGCCACTTCGAGGTCCGCGTACGGATCCGTAACCCGCTTCCCACCGGGTTGGATCCGCATCAGCGAGGATAGGTACTCGCAAATGAGGGATCTGCTGATGTGGTAGTCAATGATGGAAGGGGGCAGATTAGTGGCATGGCCAAGGTCCGCTTCGGCGAAAATATCGTAATCGACTTCTCCCAGGAGAGAGAACGTAAACTGGGCCTCTATCGAACCGACCTTGATGGTGCCGGCTTTGAGCTGCTCCAAGCATTCCTTGCTATATCGGAAGTATATGTCTTGAGACTGCCCGTAGTGTAGATTTCCAACTTGTAATACGATCGTTTTCGTTGGCTCTGAATCGTTCCCGAATGCATAACCCACGCTTTCTTCGTAGTACTCGAGCGTCTTTCCGGTTGTCTTCTCGAGAGTTAGTGATGCCGGGAAGGTCAATTTGAGAAAACATTTATTTGCAAAGGTTGACTGGAGATTCGCCACGGCGTGGGAGAAGATGGTCCCCTAAGGCTTCGATATTAGTAGACAAAATTTTGAGTATCAATATTACTTGTGAGGATGGACTTACAACAAGCCCAGCGTCTGAAATAAATGAGTAGTTGCCATTTCCAACCTCAGCAACTGACTTAAGCACACCAGAATCGGCCTGATTTCCAAATCCAAAGGTGTGTATGCTTGCTTTAAGGGCTCCCATGCTCCGGATGGCGTTCACCCAGTGATCATCTGGAGGGTTGCTATAGTTCGCGTTAGCATCCTGGCCCCTCCTGTGCAAAATCGTATGCAAACACTCAAAACTTACCCGGTATTGGAGTGGCCATCAGTGAGGACCAGTATTACAGGCACTTTCCCTTGGCTTGACGCCGATCGATCGTTGAAGAGGTCCAGACCACTCTTGATACCACCCCACATATTTGTCGTTCCCGCTGTCTTTATCTTATCTATAGCTTCCACTGACAACGTTTTGTTGTATTTCGTCATGGGGGTGAGTTTTTGAAGGACCTGCATTGGCAGTGTTAGCTTTGTCTTGATTTTTCTTCCGGGGACACCTGCAAGGGGGTATCTGCTGCTACCTACGTCTGCGCGATCACCAAATGTCACAATTCCGAGCCGATCGGTCTCGTCAAGGCTTTTGGTTATGGTGGAGGCGGCATGTTTTGCGATTTCCATAATTGACGGCCTCTGTTCGTGCTGCCTTTCTCGCCCTTCTGTATCCGGCCACGGGGGTCTGAATGACATGGACCCAGAGATATCTATTACAAGGACAATGTCACACGGTACATGATCCAGAGAGACATCCTGCGGGTTTATCGGGGGCTCAACCGAAACGAGAACACCGTTTTGTGAGGAGAGAGGGTGTATCGCAATAGTTGGATCGTTGCTCGCAATCGTGGTGACGGAGTAATCAGACGCGGCTTCATGAGTAGCTTTCGAAGAGGTTGCACGATTCAAGGTGCGGGTAACCTATTGCAAGTCATTAACGCGGTGCTGTATTTAATGGCACCCGTGTACTACCTACCATCTCGGAAATATTTGAGATTTCCCAGCGGGAACCTGTACCCTGCGATAAGGGTGATGATTCCGTGATTGGCAACTTTTTGATGGTCATGGTGACTCTGTTCAGTAGTGTCTCAGCAAACTACGCGATGAATCAAATGAACCATATATAAAAATTTGGTGATGGTGGTTTTAAAGGGCGGGTACTGCAGCGAGTCTGAGAAGTCAAGTGCTATATGACAAAGAATGCTGTCAGTTCCTTTCTCTTTATTCAGGACTTCAAAGACAAACTCAAGGCTAGCCCGAGGCAACCACGAGGCTAACTCTTGATCATCAGATATTCTCACGTAATGAGTAATAAAGAAGTATACTTCCCCCCCCCCTCACCTGTGTTGGTGCAGGCCCTGCATCAAGACAGGGATGGAGAGCTATCTTAGACCGCTTCTTTAAAGCTTCATGCCCTTGAATCATCCCCAAAGTTGACCTCATCTACACTAGTCGTGTGGCTGATAAATCCTCTCTACCGTTAGTTTTGGCTTAAAAAACGGGCCATCTCCAGATATTAAGCAAACCAGAGGCCAACTTCCAAGTTAGATACATAAGTAGTAAGAATATCCTACCCCACTCCACCAAAGTGGAAAAAGGTGTGGAACACTGGGTTGGTTCCTGAGAGGGCTTGTACGGGTAGTAGTTAGGCCTGTGGGCGGGCTTGTGCTGCGCCCGATACAACACAGCCACATCCCATGGATTTATGGATCACTCTAGTTAATCAGCCAATCGAAAATTGGTGGAGCTAAGGTTATACCTAACCTATACCTGGTTTTGGGGCGCTCAAATTAAGTCCACTACCCCCAAATCATCTATAGGCAAATAGCTGGCAGCGGCAAGGCATTCTCATCCAGCCGCTGAAGTGTGTCAAGTAAGATCTACCACAAGTGCATATGTTCATCATGGACTTTAAGGGTCCACTTCTCTGACATGACGCCAAGAATTTTGTTCAAGAGCCTCATTAATCTCAGTTCTCACCGTAGGACTCAAACAATTGCACAGAGCTTACGCAGGCTTTCTCCCCTTGCCTGCGATGCTAGTAATAAACGACCCAAGGCTGATTTTGTTTTCTTTAGTGATGTGCCCTGAAACTTGTATCAATTTTTCCTTTGCCGACATTACGCGAGTGAAAGTCCTAATTAATATTGACGGCATTATGTCCCTGTTGCTTAGGCAATACCATTACAGAGCGTTCGAGGGTGATAGGTAGAGCTGATTCAATAACACAGTCGATAATGCAACCATAAGCATCATATGCCCCTCAATCTCAACTTCTCTGAGCGTTATCTTGGTAACTGATGGTAGCAATATGACCGCTGGCTTTTCCAGGCAACAGATGTTCGAGGGCAGGAATGAAATGGAGAGGAGACAATATTGTACAGGGCTTCGGCTTTGTAGAAATTGAGCCTCTTGGAACAAGCACCTGGAATTAGTAGCGTACTCGGCTACATAGCTTTCATTTTAGTAACCTTCGACATCGAATTTGTTGCCACTTCAATATTAGTCTAGCTCTTGATGACATGTTGCCTCTCACAATAGTGAGTCATACTGCCAAGGTCAGTTTTGAGCGATGGATGTGTGCCTGGGCAGATATACGTGTTCGACTGAATTTCTATCACCGGGTTTGGTCATTATGAGTCACTTTTCCTCACATGTGTAACACATGAATGTTAGCTTTTTCATTTACAATGCTGTCTAATCACTATCATAACAGCAAGAGAGCATCTTAGCCCAGGGGGAGAGCGCCGGGCTCATATTGCATGACACCCGGAGGTCGCTGGATCGAAACCAGCAGATGCTATATATAGTCAATTCTTTTTGCTCTTTTTGGGTCGAGGGAATTTCTTTTGTCATGGCGCCAAATGTCGTTCATATTCCGCTTCTGATGCTCACTGTTTTATGCATTTTCATTTCTGGCCTTGCGGTGTTCACATCATTACGGTTTCTTTGTTTACAACAAAGCTTTCAGGCTTACTAGGAAGGTGTGTCAAATCGCTCCGAACAATGACACAAAGCCTGATATTGTGGTCAAAAGGTGCTTCGATATTCAAGGATATAGAGCATTGCAATCAGGGATACCGGACCAGTCTACTGGCTGCCCGCACATCCACATCCCCTTTAATACAAAAGCGGTAGCATCGCCCGACAAAATCACGGTCACAAGCGTACAAAAGTACAAAAAAAATGACCAAGAGGAGGTTCGAACTCCTGCCCTTCAGTGTGTGAGACTGACGTGATAACCACTACACCACTCGGCCCTTATCTGTATTTGGATGGTAATGCATTTCTTGAAGCTGGCCGAGGGCCGCTGAGGGGGGCGACGAGAGGGGACAGCTCATTGTGGATACTATCAGCAAGCTACTGAGATAACGGATCTCATGAAATGATGGCCGCAATCAAGTTGGGAGAATGACTTCTAGAACATAATATGCGTTCTTCCACAGGCTAATTACAGGGCGGTGACCACCCAATGTCTACAAAGCATAGGAATACCCTCATTCCACCCGACTGCGGAATTCACCTTCGCAACCAGACTAATCATATGTAAGTGCTCATCGAGTATTGCACATGTGTGCTGAAGGTGAAGAGACTGCGATAGAGGATGTGGAAAAGAGGAGACTACGTAAGAGGCAATGGAAAACTATACCTAGGTAAACATTAAACACCAAGAAACATAAATCTGAGCCTCCAACACATGCAAATTCCATGCTAAGCATCGAGCAGTTGGACAGGTTTACCGAGCCAATGATGTCGGTGTGGCTATTGTCATGTCGACCCATGGGCGGCGCTCTAAAAACGTGGGGTCTCACTTTGGGGCAAGTCCTAGGTGGCGAAGGCCCGAAAGTCCAGTGGCATGGGATGGGAGTATGGGAATGCAGGGGGGAGGGGATGAGAAATCCTTCCTACTCAGCAGCCCCCTGGGAGCTGTGGGCGTGCTCCCGTGCCTCCGCAGACGCCTGCAAGTGGGGGACCCTTGTCCGAGTTAGGGGGCGGCTCCCGTGTCCCCTAGCTCCGTTAGTGTTTCGTGTTCAATTCCAGCTTGGAGTCGATGGTGCCGACTTTTGGACAGCTTGCTGACAACTTCGCAAGTTGCAACCACCTTTTTGTCCCGACACACGCGATAATCGTCAAGATGCGGCAATTGCAGGCCCTTATAATCCTGGGCACTGCCGCCAACACTGGACTCGTGGCTGCGGGCTCAGTTCCACGAGGCGTTGGTCCCGAATGTAAGTTATGTGCTGCTACTCCCTTGCCTGTGAGGTCATCTCATTCCCGAATTCCAGGCCCGCTTGCACTTTGGACAGGCTGGACTTGCTATTCATTGATGTCACACATGTTGTGCTTGGGGGTTCCAGCTCTCGCTTCTCCTTTGAATGTTAACGCCCATCCTGTGTTACAAATTGTAAATTGGAGAAATGCTAATCCTTTCTCTCTCCCCTCCCTCTAGTTGCCAAGTTTTACGATCTGAAGGATACATTCACTTGTATCGGCCACCCATCCATCTCCATACCCGCCTCCAGGGTGAACGACAACACCTGCGATTGCCCCGACGGCTCTGATGAGCCTGGTACTGCAGCATGTGCCTCGATTGACCACCTTTCGCCTTCTCAGCCTCTTGCTGGGTCCCTCTCCGGTACGACCAATACCACCAACGGCTTGCCTGGCTTCTGGTGTGCCAATGAGGGCCACATTGGCAACTATGTTCCATTCATGTTTGTCAACGATGGTATCTGCGACTACGACCTTTGCTGTGATGGTAGTGAGGAGTTCGCCGGTGTTGGTAGCGTCAAGTGTCCTAATCGCTGCGCCGAGATTGGCAAGGAGTGGCGGAGAGTTGAGAAAGAGCGCTTAGATAACCTTGAGAGGGCCAACAAGAAGAGGAGGACCATGGCGAAAGAGTCTAGAGAACTTCGGCGACAGGTCGAGGCCAAGATCAAGACACTGACCGACGAGATCAAAGCACTCGAGGTCAAGCGCGACGAGCTCAAAGCTAAGCACGATGAGGTGGAGAAGTCGGAGCGTTTCAAGGTCACCAAGAGTGAAGGCCCAGGAAAGTTGGGAGTCTTGGTTGGCCAAGCCAAGGATAGAATCAGCGAGCTTCGGGATGCTTTAACCATTGTTCTCTCCAACCGGATGGAGCTGCAGACCAAGGTCAGTGAGCTTGAGGCCATCCTTGCCGCCTTCAAGGAGGAGTACAACCCAAACTTCAACGATGAGGGTGTCAAGAAGGCTGTTCGAGCTTGGGAGGATTACATCGGCAAGAAAAACGACGAAGGTGAAACTCCGGTGAACGAAGAGGATGTATACTCTATCCTCAAGGAGGACAGTGAGACCAATGGCATCAATTGGAATGAGTTTGCCGAGGCAGAAATGACAGATACGGATATACGTAAGTTGCTTTCTCACAGCAGTTCACCCATTACTCCGCATCCAGTTGGAAGGTAACTGACAAATATCACAGTGTACACCTTTGAGGCGTACTTACCTGGTCCTGTCCGCGGCTTCATCCACGACAAGCTTAACCTATTGCGTATCTGGATGATTGAGAACGGTATTATGGCCGATAACCCCACGGAGAAGGGCGAATCCCGACTGGTTACTGCTGCTCGCGAAGCGTATCAAGCCGTGGAGAAGGATATCAAGTCTAAGGAGAAGGAGCTTGGCGAGAAGGAGACGGATCTTGAAAAGGACTACGGTGCCGACGATATCTTCCGTGCCCTGCGTGACAAGTGCATCAGTACGGATGCCGGCGAGTACACCTACGAGCTCTGCTGGCTCGGCCGAACCAGCCAGAAATCCAAGAAAGGTGGTGGTGCTACCACAATGGGGAACTTTGAGCGAATTGAGTGGGATGAAAGTGACGAAGACCCGAGACATGATGGTAAAGGGCTAGGCAGAGGAAAAAGAATGGTGTTGAAATATGAGCGTGGGCAGGGCTGCTGGAACGGGCCCAACAGACGTACCGATGTCTGGCTCGCGTGCTCTGAGACTGAGGAGTTGTGGCGAGTTAGTGAGTTGGAAAAGTGTGTGTATAAGATGGAGGTTGGGTCGCCGGTGGCTTGCCAGGAGGTCGTCCAGCCTGGCACAAGGGAGCGCGATGAGCTATAAAGCCCCATTGTATCGTATCACTTGCTCTTTTTTTTTTCAGTCAATAGAAGGTAGGAGATCAAAATGAGGCTCCCTGGAGCCTGGAATGATAGATATGCCATATACATACGGCTCTAACTGGGGAAGGCTGGAACATAGCGTCTTGCACAGAAACTGCGAGATGTTGGTAAAGAGATTGCGCACCAATATAACGTCTTGATTCTATAGCATTCATCAACTTTTTTCAAGTAACACGATGAAACGATGTTTATGGTATCAGATTGCGCTTGGTATTGCAATTTTTGCAAGTGGTTATTATGTACAATTCATCCTTCCAACGAGAAACGGCCCCTTCATCGGACTGCTTCACTCTTTTTGTAACCTTCAATCATCTTGCGGCGCTTATTATTTTCCTCCTGCTCGGCAAGTACTTTGGCTGTTAATGATGCGGTCATCGCATTGTTGATCCTACTCTCTATGCCCGACTCTTTGACTTTCTTCTTCTCCTTCTTGCCACTGCCAGTCTCTCCGTCGCCATTTGTCGCATCAGCATCGCCCGCTTTGCGCTTCTTTTTGCCGTTAACGCCATTCTTGTCTTTCTTTAGAGTGTGCGTGAGGCCCTTGGCCTTTAAGTCTTCTATCCGCGCCTCCAGCCTTTTGGCGACTTCGGGGTCTGAGGCACCCAGGATCGGGATCACATTACTGCTCTCAAACGCCTCGCTGCACTCGGGACAGCGGCTCTCCGCCTCCTCCTCGCCGGCCGATGACGCCGCGGACTGGATCTCCTTGAGAGCGACCTCGGCGAAGACGTGGCCGCACGGCACCAGGTACGCCGCTTTGGTGGCGGCGCCGAGCTCCTTCTGGGACACGAAGCACGCGCGGAACTCGCGGCCCTTGTCGTCCTTGCGCGTGCAGAACTTCAGCTTCAGGACGTCGCGGAGGCTCCGGATGCCCGTGGCGCGGAAGGCCTCCTCCTGCGCCTCGGCCGCGGCCTCGCCGGTGTCCGGCGACGGCAGCAAGCACTGCAGGATGGACTCGTAGCTGTACAGGCGGCCGAGGTGGTCGGAGACGGTGCTGGCTGGGTCGAGCGGGGCGCCGGTGATGGGGCAGAAGGTCCAGGCGTGCGTGAGGGACTCGAGGTGCGACTCCTTGAGCTCGGTGGTGGTACGCGCGCGGGCCGCTGACTTGACCAGCTCGCGCCGCTTGGGGATCGAGCCGCCGTCGTTACCCATGGTAAATCGATGGGAGGCTAGATAATGTTGTTTGCGGTGCTTCGAGAGAAAAGGCGATAGCGAAAATAATTAGAAGGGGTTATTCGACGCCGCTAGCCTCTTCTTGTAACTTGTTTCAGCGCTATTTGGAAGTAGCAAGGCTGCAGACCGAGGGTATCTGTGATGGGCAGGTTATCGCGTGTCTCAACCGTCCGTGGTTGTGTTGTGGCTGGGTGGTCAGTAGTATTTATTTTGTCCAAATGGCTGTTCACGATGAAAGTATTGGAGTTCAGTGGGATTAGTAAAATATATTTACTAGAAATTGGCGACGTTACTGGGCTGTGAATAGAATAGAAATGAATTCCCTTCGCATCAAAGATCAACTTGAAGTCTAGGTGCATCTACGAGTTAGTGACTGTCGCTTCTTGGCGCCCCCAGGCTCAAGATAACGATAAGCCCGTAAGCGGGCATTCAAATGTTGCATACTAGGATATTCAGGGACAAAGAAACTGTGACATTCTCGTGTTCTACCTTGCGCTGACTTTGAGGATTTGGTGAAGTGATAGGTGTATTATTGACGTGAGAACCATCATACAGTGACAATATCCTATGGGATGCCTCTCTCTCACACAGTTTGCAGTGGATTCACTCACGTCCATCTATCACCACTCGGGCATTTATTACACTTTCATTCACTCACCACGAAGACCCCTCCATAGTACTCTAGTCAAGAATCGGTTAGTGTCGGAACCGGGCCAATTTCCCAAGCCCATAAACTTCACAGGAGGTAAGACGGCCGTTCCCCATAGTCTTGCATTGGCACTGTATCAACCCTCACTAAAGATCAGCTATTATACAGTGCCTATTTCTCCCTGAGTGCGAAAGAGGTACTAAGCAATACCACACGTGAGTCGGCGGAAAGACAAGTAGCTACACTGTTTAATGGTACCTCGCATGGG